GGGGCAGCCAAGATGGGGACCACCATCCAGTTTCTTAAAAACTAACCGCACAGCTACCATACATCCCCAAAATTGCACTTCTGAGGGTTTCCCCCAGAGTAATTAGATAAAACAATGCATGGTTGTTGATGGCAGATTAATTTGTAACACGTCACCCCCAGACTCATCCTGGGTGTTCTTCAGTGTGTAAAAGGTAAAGAAACCATGGTACATCTGCCCCATGGGTATTCCTCGGCAGTAAAAAAAGAGCAGATATTGATACATCAACCTGAATGAATGTCTGGGGAATTACGCTGCACGAGAAAGGCCAACCCCATGGTCCATGGTCCCTGTTAGAGGCCATTCTTGAAATGACCAACTTAGAGAAGTGGACCCCAGATTAGTTTTGTGCACATGGGGAGAGGGGTCCATGGCAGGGCATTTGGGTGGGAAAGATGTCAGTGCGTCCATATGAGGGATGATTATGGTGATACAACTATTCTTTCTCCTTACTATTTTAAAAGCCAGTGGCCTGGTTGTGATAGTGTACTATGGTCTTGCAAGATGTTGTCATTGGAAGTGACTGAGTAAAGCTATAAGGATCTTTCTGTATTTCCTGCAAGTGTTTTGAATATCCAATTGTCAGAAGTAAAACGTTTAACAGAAAAGCAATTTAAAATCTAACATACCATTACTTACATTAACATTAAAATGGCTACACTTAGAAACCCAAGACTTTCAGAGTACACAGAAATTAATATATTCTGCTTAATAGAGGCATGCTTTAAAATGAGAATGTAGGGACGCCTGGGGGACTCAGTCAGTTAAGCGGCTGCCTTAGGCTCAGGTCATGATCTCAGGGTCCTAGGATCGAGTCCATGTCGGGCTCCCTGCTCAGGGGGGAGTCTGCTTCTCCCTCTGCCTGTCGCTCCTCCTGCTTGTGTGTGTGCACGCTCTCTCTGACAAATAAATTTTTAAAAAACTTAAAAAATAATAATAATAAAATGAGAATGTAGGGGCTCCTGGGTGGCCCAGTCAGTTAAGTGTCTGCCTTTGGCTCAGGTCATGATCTCAGGGTCCTGGGATCGAGCCCCGCGTCAGGCTCCCTGCTCAGCGGGTAGCCTGCCTCTCCCTCTCCTCCCCACCTGTGCTCTCTGTCACTCTCTCTCAAATAAATAATTAAAATCTTTAAAGAATAATAAAATGAATGTAAAAAGTTTGCAAATAAAATATAGAACGTGGTATACAACTTAAATATTGGCCAAAGAAAGCTCTTCCACCCACACTGAGGCAAAGGAACAATAACAAAGAACGTCACTTGTGTGAAGAGCATCACTGTATGGAGAGGAAGGAGTAAGAAAACCTGGAAGAAACCACCGTGTAAGTGCCCACACGCCCAATAACAGGATGAAGATACACACAGAAAAATCCTCCATAGAACTTAGGAACTGTAGGTAGATCCACAATCACAGCGTGATTGTTGTTCACACATCTCTCCCCATAGCTTCTAGGTGCCAGAGCAAGGAGGCAAAACTTACTGTAGCTGTACAGCCCCGGTGGAAGAATTCTTTCTGTAAAGGATCAGAGAGCAAACGTGTTCAGCTTTGTAAGCCATCTAGTCCTAGTTGCAAGTACCCAGCACTGCCCGTGAGGAGGTGGAAGCAGCCACAGAGGATGGGGACACACAGTGATCATCCCTATGTCCCAACAAATCTTGACTGCTAGACGCAGCTGGTGGACTGGGGTTGTCCCGCAGGCTCTTGTTTGCCGGCCTCAGCTCCAGAAGGTCTGAGCGATGCCGTTTACGGACCAGGAGTGATCATTATATATATAGCAGCAGAGCCACACAGGAGCAAGTACACGCACTTCACAAGGTCGCTTATGACGTTTGCAACAAGGACTGAAATTATTTAGTTCCTTCTCTGTTACGGTGGAATTAAACTAGAAATCATGACTCAGAAGAGAACTGGGAAATCCTCCGCTTCTTAGGAATTATTACCAATCACCAAAAGAGAAGCCACAACAGAAATGAGAAAATACTGAGTGTCTCAACGATTAGAAAGCTAAGACATGGGAAAAACGAGTGGAGAGCAGCTAAAGCGGTGCCGAGAGCCAAATAGGGAACGCTCCCAGCATCTAGTAGAGGAGATAAAGGGTGAAAAGGCCCCTAGGCTTCCACTCAGAAAGGTAGGAGGAGAATAGGAAATCCACCCAAAGCGATGAGGAAGGAAATGTAAAGAGGATAGCAGAAATCCTTGAAATAGGAAGACAAAAACAACACAAAACAGATAAGATCCCCACAAAGCCAATAGCTGGTTCTTTGGAAGGATTCATAGTATTGGTAAAACAGTAGGAGAAATCAAAGGCAGAAACATAAAATTCATAATTTCATTATCAGAAATGAAAAGGGAGGCAACCCTGAGACCGTACAGACCTTGTATAGATAATAAGAGCCATTACGAATAGCCTTCTTGTGATCAATCTGAGCTGCGTGATGAAATGAACAGTACCTTGAAAAACACATTTTAACTACATCTGACCCACAATGACATCATAAAGCTGAAGTGTCCTGACTCATTTCTGGAAAACCTACCCGAGTAGAGAGTGCTTCTCTGGTAAATTCCCCACTAGCTTTATAGGAGAAATCAGCCCAATCTTCACAAACGCTTCCAGAGAATAAACAAGGAGGATTGCTCCCCAATACATTCCCCCTGCCCGATGACAGCCTAACCCCAACCCAAAAGCCCAGCGAAGACACTGGAAGAATGGAGATCACAGATGATCCTCTCTTATGACCAGAGATATAAAAATACTAGCCAAATCGGAATAGAATCCTACTGTCAATAAGTTCTACCCCACCCAGTGTGATGCAGTATCCTGCATGGGGTCGTGGAACAGGAAGAGTGTTAAGGAAAAATGAATGAAATCTGAATAAAGTGTGGAGTTGAGTTAATAAGAATTTATCAGTGGTCATTCATTGTGTTTGACAGATGTGCCATAGGACAGTAAATAATGAGAGACTAGAGGGGATTGGGTGTGCGGTGTGTAGAACACACACACGCACAGTCAGGCAATGGCCTGGATCCAAGGTCAGTACTCCAAGATCAGTTCAAAAAAATCAATTGTATTTTTATACAACGACAAATTCAAGATGAAATTTTCAGGAAACCCGTAGCATTTTAAAAAGCACCACAATAGCTAGAAATGCAACCAGATCTCTCCAAGATTTCCACATCGAAACAGCAAAAACACAAATGAAATGGAAGACTTAAATAAACGGATACACCAGGCTTATGGATGGTGAAACCCGGTAGAGGTAAGATGGCTGTTCTCCCCAAATTAATCTAAAATTTCCATGATATTCCAGTCAGAGTCTCAGCAGGTCAATGTGTGTGAGTGTGTGTGTGTCTGCCATGTGCGCCCGCGCATTTGCGAGTGGGTGTGCACGTTGATTCCAAATATCCGAATGTTTATGGAAATATGAAGGGCTAGGAATGTCCAAGGCAATCGTGTGGAAGAGGAGAAAAGCTGGAGGACTTGCACTCTTAACTCTCAAGATTATTTATATCATTTCGTCAGTCATTTTGACAGTTTGATGTTGGTGTCATGGTTGAAAAATAGACCTGTAGAGGAGAAAAGAGATCTCACAGGTATCTAGTTACATGCTTTCTGACAAGGTTGGCCCTGCAGGTATTGGGGAAAGATGCTTGTCTGTACTCACCACTGGTGGGTAGATGAGATCTTATTCACTGTATCTACTTTACACAAAAGAAGCAGCTTCAGGTGCTTTGCGGATCTCCATGTAAATACTAAAAGAGCCAGGGGCTACTAGGTATTTATCCAAAGAACACAAATATAGTGATTTGAAGGGGCACATGCACCCCAATGTTTATAGCAGCAATGTCCACAATACCCAACATATGGAAAGCGCCCAGATGTGGATTGACAGATGAATGGATAAAGAAGATGTGGTCTATATATACAATGGAATATTACTCAGCCACCCAAAAGAATGAAATCTTGCCAGTTGCAACAACGTGGATGTAATTAGAGGGTATTAACTAAGTGAAATAAGTCAGAGAAAGGCAATACCATATGATCTCACTCATATGTGGAATTTAAGAAATGAAGCAGGTGAATGTAGGGGAAGAGAAGGAAACATAAAATAAGATGAAAGCAGAGATGGAAGCAAACCATAAAAGACTCTTAACTGTAGGAAAGAAACTGAAGGTTGCTGGATGGGAGGTGGTTGGGGGATGGGGTAACTGGGAGACGGGCATTAAGGAGGGCACTTGCTATGATGAGCACTGGGTGCTGTATGCTACTGATTAATTAAATTCCACCTCTACAACTAATAATACACTACGTTACCTAAATTGAATTTAAATAAAAATTTTAAAAATGTTAGTTGAAAGATGCCCTCTAGTGGTGCCTGGTTGGCTCCAATCAGTTAAACTTCTGCATTCGGCTCAGGTCATGATCCCAGCGTTCTGGGATTGAACCCCTCATCGGGCTCCCTGCTCGGCAGGGGAGTCTGCTGCTCCCTCTCCCTCTGCCTCTCCCCCAGCTTGTGCGTGCAGTCACTCTCTCTCTCATTCACTCTCTCAAATTAAAAACAAATCTTTTTAAAAAGATGCTTTCTAAAATAAAAAAAAGAATGAGGGTTTTTTTTTTTTAAGAGAAATGTAGAAGAATATCTTTGTATCCTTGGATAATTATGAGTAAGAAAAGCGAACAGTATAGTGCTGGTCACATGTGGGAAAAGTGGCAAATGAGATTACATAAAAATTCACTTCTATCCCCAAGAAAATACGGAAAGACTGTGAAAACGATGCCACAGATGAAGAGAAGGCCAGTCAAAACACCGTCTGCTCAGGAGCTTGTATTCAGTATATAGAATGAACTTCGTCCTATGAATGAACAATTGAACAAGCAGATCATTGGGTAGAAATTTGAGCAAAAAGGCTTGAAGTCTGTTTACCAGAAAATGATACCCAAATGGGTAATAAATCTATGAAAAGATGCTCAACGTCATCGTTTTTGGTGGAAACGCAACTCAAAACCATGATACGGTAACCCCAAAAGAATGATTAAACATTCACAAACGACCACTCATGTGGTGGCAAGATTTCAAAGTGTACACGATCCTTTGGAGTGTAAATAGGTACAACCGTTCTGGAAAACTCTTCAGCGGCATCTGCTAAAGCCATACGTATGCATCGTAAAGACTCAGCATTACCACCTATAAAGAACTCACACACGCTCACCTCAAGATGAGGACAAGCATATTCCTTGCAGCACTCTTTGGGGATAGACAAGAGCCAGAAACAATCCTAATGTCCATCAACCATCAACCGTGGAATATTCATCAGTGGAAAAGTATACAACTATGAGAGTAAACAATATACAACGGGGCCATAGAAGGGGTGGATTTCCCGAACACAAATAGAGAAAAGAAGCCAGACACCAAAAGAAACAATGCAGGATTTCATAATCACAAAGTTCAACAACAGACAAAATTAACATACAGGCTTACAAATCGAGACATTTCTTATCTTTGGCCTTGGCTGCTTATAGTGCCTGATGGAGGGACAGAAGCAGGAAACGAGGGTTTTCATCCAGTTCTGTTTCTGGAACTTGATGTTGGTTATATGGTTATGAGCAGCACTTCATGAAAATCCGGTCGGCCGTCGACTTACGAATATGCACTCTGCAGTACGGTACTGAACTTTCTAAAGTCCGTTACATGGCAAATAAAGAAAAGCAAGTGACTGGAGCCAGTTGTTCGTTCCTTCTCTTTAACCCCAGAGCCATGAATGGATACATCAACTGTGGCAAGTTCCAGGGAGAAAGTATGGTGTAAACACTGGGGTCACCAGGGGAACAGAACTCATGAATGAGAGCCGAGGAATTGAACTCAAGGACTCTCGAAGGAGGCCTCAGAACGAGCCAGTGGCATTGGTTGGCTGAGGCTATTGGGTGTGCCCACCAGGGAAGGTCATCACAGTAGTTGCGGGACCCTCCTTGGGACAGAGCGTCCAGTCTGTGCAGGGGAGCAGGTTGGCATTAAGCGTGCATCGACGTTTATATGTTGGGCCTGGAGCTGGGAACATCTGGCCGAGGGGCCACTCCAACTGCAGAAACTCAGATGAGGGCCACACTTCCAGGGGCACTCCACTTCAGGGGCTGTGTGATCCTGTGGGACATAAGCAATTCTATTTATGGAGCCCTGGAATTCTTAGGACAAATAACGAACAGGGCATTTCATGTGTATAGCTGTGTGCCAGGGTGCCATCCTACTATTTAGGGAGAGCCCGAGGCAGAGACGAGGTGGCGGTGTAGACAGAAAAACATCTCCAGAAGTTGTTCAAGGAGGAACCAGACCCTCTAGTGGCCTTACTTGGACATTCTTTATCAGTGAAGAATTCTAGGCAACGTAGCATTTGCGGATGTAGAATGCGGGCATGGAGCTAGCTAGTACTTACTGGGTGAAGTGTGCTTTGATATTTGCAAGCAGAAAACTGAAATCAGTTATTTTCATCTCTATCTTTAGGTTTGAATGTTCGGGAACTATACGTTTACAAGAACTGTACATCCGGCTGCACTTTTTTATATCCATCCCAAACACCCCCTGAAGCCCCGAGAGTCCTTAAAACTAATAGTTTTTATTTTGTTCATTGTTGTTTTAGTATGACTTGCAATGAGGGAGGACCTACTAATTTCGAGAGGGATATCCTACCCGATTATACAATTGAGGAGGAGTTAGAAGGAACTGTGCGCCTGGGGGAGTCAACATTTTTCCTGAGTGTTGCCTCCATCCTAGTCAGCAATATACTGACATGAGAAGCCCTCTTGGAGGGCCTGATCTCTCCCCCCATTCCTCAGAGCAAGTTCACTCTCCTTTCCTCCCTTGTGAGCCAGGGACCCTGACCCACAGGCCTCCCAGTTGGCCGGTTACCCCTTTCCAGCTTATTTCAAGAGAGAAATAAAGAACATCATTGTCTGGGTACTGCTTACCTGGAGATTTCTTTGTGGTTTTAGCGTTTGATCTGTTTGTTCCTCTTGAGACATCATCTCACAAGTAGACCAAAACCTGTTGCCACTTTAGCATACAGAGATCGAGTCTTCAAATGAAAATCAGAACAGTTACAGGGAACAGTGCACGTGTCGGCTGAAAGAGCGGTCCCAGCTACGCCCAGACCACGGGCAGCAGAGGCCACCTGAGGCTCCGTGCTTCCGGTTTCAGGTCGGGACGATGGTTGCAGGAGGGTGCTTGGCGATAAGGTAGCACGTAGACAATGAGCGCCTGACACTGGGCACTGTGCCCGGTGCCTTTGTGTGGGTCAGACAAGTTGTGCGTGAACCGGAGTCCTCCGTCAAGATGGCACCTGTCTTCACGCCGGCGGGAGAAGGTTTCCTCAGATGCTGACCTCTGAGAAGGGTAAGGGGCTCAGGGCCAGCTGGTGAGCCCCTCGAAATGGCAGGGGGACGTCTGGGCTGCTGCTGTCATTCTCATTGCACACAGGGCCCGGGCCGGAAAAGAGACATGAAGGGAGCACAAGAGCCACACCTTCTTTCGCCCTCGTCCTCTCCTCCTCCTCTAAACCTGATTTTAAGTCGGATACAGTCATCACAACAGCAAATTCATCGTTTCAAAGGGGGTAATTCGGGCTTTCTTCGCATATCATTTCAAAGGGGGTAATTC